GTTCAATTTATTCAAATACGGATTCTGTCTGTTTTTTGTTTTTTTTAAAGAATCAACGTGCAACAGAATTCGCGAAAAACCAGGAAAATTCCTTGAAAATGGACGTTAATCGCCGATCTCGTCTATTTTTAGCCTTTCTGTTGACAGAGAGCTAGAGGTTTCCCCTTGCGCATGCGCTTTACACTACGCGTTTCGAATACCGTACTACTTCGATAGACCAGAAATATTTATTTTCTGTTCACGTCGCCAATCAAGAGATATTTGAAGTGTTTGGGTAAGCAAAGTGTAAAATTTAGTAAATATCTTTTTAATTTAGTTTTTAATTGTTGGGTAACCATTATCATAAAAAGAAAACTACTGGTCCGAGCGCTGTCTAACAAGACTAAGCTTAGCGTACTTTATTATGTAGCTTTACTGTATGCAGGCGACTTGTATTTCTTTTTTTTTTATTAGAAGAGCTAGGAGGCGTTTAACTTTTTTTTAAAGACTTATTAAGTTCACTTTACATTTAATCACGGAGTAAGCCTTCTAATTTTAAATAGGCTAATATGATTAAGTTATTTTTACCCGTTCTGTAGAGAGCCTGACATAACCGTATTTAGTTCGTTTTTATTTATTAGTTATGCACTCCCGTGTTCTGACTCTGGGTATACTACTTTACGGTAATTTGTAATTCTACTATTAGTATTCATAATGCTCTGTATTACCGTAGCAGTAGTGCCGTAGTTAAATTTAAATACTGGTATAATATAGTCGATATTATTATTATGTATGCCTTACTATAAACTATAAATCTAATAATATTTTATTTTGTTTCACTATTCAGGATCTAGGCTCAATAAAAATATGTAATGCCCAACAGTTAACAGTTCCTTTAACTTTAAAGAACTGATGGGCATTACAGTTACAGTACAGCAATTGGCAATCATGATTGAATAAGCATTCAATGAATACTATGCTGGAAATATTGATATCAAGTATTCAAGGGGAAAATGTCTGAGTCAATCATCTTTATCACCCATCTTAGGTGTCCACTTTTGTAACTTCTCAATTTATGAAATTTATGTGTCAAACTATGAAACTCTCACACTTGGGAGATAGTATAGACACTAAAGTGTGTTGATTCAAACTATCCATTTTCATCATAAAGAAGACAACATTAACTCCATATATGAAAAGATACTTTCCACTTGTGGTAGCTATACTTTTGTTCTAAAATGCCCAGATAACTCATTGCAAAAGTTGACTTTTCAAGTCTAAGTAAATTGAAAAATTGCTATTGCTGTAAATTTAATAAATACTAATAAATGTTTACATGTATACACTTTAATTGCTTAATTTTGTTCATTTGTGATGTATCTCAATGTTTTATTTGATAATTTCATGCTTGTTTTTATATTAATCAACAAAATGCCGCATTGCGATAATCAGGAATTTTGAGTTTCATTAAGTTTCAGGGATTGAAAAATTTGTAAATGAAGTTTCAGGTTTCAAGAAATTTTTAGAAAGGGATTTCAGGGTTCACAGCTTTCAGTGAGTGGCACCCCTGCATTAATTCGTCTTAGACAGGGTGTGGGGGGGACTTTTTTAGCTACAATATTTAGGATATCTCGTGCTACAGTTAATAAAAATTTAAAAAATAGCATTAGCATAGTTCGACAAAAATTAAATTCTGTTAATATTTGGCCTAGTCGAGAGCAAGTCAATGCTTTCATGCCCCCTCAATTCACAAAACATTCCCCACTTGTAGAGTAATAATAGACTGTACAGAATTATATGTAGAACAGCCATCCAATCCAACCCACCAACAGTCAAGTTTTAGTTACTACAAAAATCATAACACATATAAATCGCTAATAGGTATTGCTCTCAGTGGTGGTGTGAGTTTCATATCTGATTTATGGTTAGGTAGCATTTCCGATAAGGAAATAACAATAAATAGTGGTATTTTAGATAAGTTGGAAGCAGGGGAAACTGTACTAGCTGATAGGGGTTTTACTGTCCTAGAAAATGAATTTGTTAGGAGAGATGTAACTTTGTTTACTGCATTTTTTTTTCAAGACAAAATACAGTTTCCCATTGACAAACGGTGTGAAAATAAAAAAGTGTCCTCACATCGTTGCCATGTAGAGCGTGCTATTGGCAGAATAAAATCTTTTAAGATACTTGATGGTATCATTTCCTGGAATTTGAAAAACATAGATGATATCCACTATATTTGTGCCTTTTTAACAAATTTTTCGGAAATTCCATTGATTAATGTAATAAAATGTTAACTCAATGCAGCCAAAAAATATACAAAGTAGTTTCATGAACAAAAATTATTTCATGATTTTAGAAGTGTAACTGTTTTAATATTTGTATGTATCTATCCAGTTACTGATTGAATAGTTATGGGACATCGCCAAGCATCTATTGTGTCACAACCACACTTTCTCACAACCACAATCAACTTATGAGTTATAATAAAAGAAGCTTAGTGGATCAATTGATATTGATTATATTTTATTATATACTTAACACACTATCACAATAATATTAATATTTAATATTTGAAATTGACATACAAGCAAATATTCATTTTGAAATTACTGATCATAAAAAAACTTGGAATATAGCTTCTCAGTAAACTATATCTTCCATTTTATGTAATTTTAATTTTAACTGAAATTCGTCACACAATATATGTATTAAATTTTATGAATTAACAATTATTAAATTTTATGAATTAACAATTATAATCCTATACATCAACTTTTAAAAACACATCAACAGATGACATGTGATATAAACCAATCAAAATATATTAAATCCTTTCTTTGATCATTAATAACATTCAATATATCAGCTTGCTTCTCACTCAAAATGCATAACTTCTTATTTCTCTATTAAAAAAGTGTACCCTTTCTTGTGTCTGTCCCAATAACAATACACGTTAATAATGTGTGCAAAAACTTTAGTGACATCATCTGTTAAAATAATAAAATTAAGAATGTAAAAATCAAACAGAAGTGAAAAGTATATTAGGATAATGCAATTTTTACATTAATTTTATCACTAAATTTTCAGACATTACATCACCACTTCATAGATAATTATTAAACAAGTCTAGTGCAAAGCAGATAATGTGGTCACAAGAGCATGCAAAAGCTTTAAATCTAACCAAAGATTGTTACAATCAACAAAATATCTTTTTCAGACCTCGATCTCATTCATTGATTCAAATTGTTGGCTATTAAGAGAATCCGGCCCGTTTTTGTTTCAACTGCCAACAATGAACATTAATATTAAACAATGACATGACTATGATTAGCACTGGCATGGGCATGACTATGACAAATTCAAATGATAATTTTTTAATGTAGGCCTACCTATGGACGGTGCCAAATAACTGTCTATCAATTAAAAATCAATCCATTTCTTTGGACAAATCGTGCTTAATTTATTAACACAAGTTATTTTAAATTTAGCCTCCTTTGTAGCCTATTCTATTAATATTAATTAATATTATAAAATTAATGGTATTTAATTTATAAATTAATTTTTATTTAAGTATAGATATTATACTAGTATAGGCAGACGTATAGCATGATTTTATAAAATTATTATGGAATACTGACTGGTGGTTAATTCATTCGGATTAATTCAAGTCCGTCCCCCCCCCCCTGTCTGAGGCTAAGTAAGGCCTAAGACTAAGATTATTTAGTGAGTATTTCAAGACAAAATATAAGCCTAATCTATACTTTTTTATTAGTTTACATCTCGCTCACTATACTATAGCAATAACAGTTAAGAAACACACATTTTTCCAAAAAAGTCCAAACACTTCATAAGAATAAGTGCTTTGTACTTTTATGACTAATTGATTAATACATGTATCATGGAAGCTGGCTAAATTACTCTTAGAAACTTCAAAATAGTTATAATTTATTGAAAAGTTTCATTCATCTTATTTCAGCGTACATTCATCCGTACATTTTATATAACTAATACTAACTTAGTTATATATTATCAAGGTAATCTACCACTTGAGCGTCGGCCAAGAAAAAATCCAGTTTTTCCGGTTGGAAGGGCTATATAAACAACTATTCTTACATTGGAGTCAGTTAATATTTTTGCTTCCGTATAGAGGCTATTAAGTTATATAGCACAATACTAATACATTTAAATACTTATTACTGCCAAGCTACCGATATGCCAGGAAGAAAAAGAGACAACTTTTTTTTGTTTGATCCAGATGACGCGGATGTCCACACACAGAATGTGGAAAACGTGAATGCTCAGAAAGCATAAACTGAACAGAGAGTTTGGCACAAGAAGAGCCGGTGATCTTTCCCCTTCATATTTACATAGATTCATGTACCACAACCGTTTTCATGGAAATTATATTTTTTAAACTTCATTGTCAACTTAGGGGAGAACTGCATAATTCCATTTTCACACATTATCTTCTATTTCAAAAAAATTGTTATAGTTTTTCTATTTAAAAAAAAATTGTCTATTATTATGGGAATGAATACGTACAACCAATGTCATTAAAAATAATATAAGAATAGTTGTTTAAATAGCCCTTCCAACCGGAACAGCTGGATTTTTTCTTGGCCGACGCTCAAGTGGTAGATTATTAAAATGTGTAAGTGTAACTTAAGGACTGGTAGCTTTTAATTAAATCGCAGTATTAGGCCTAATCAAAATAAAGTAGTGTCTAACAACTATCAAAGTACACACCTAAATGTATCTTGTTTAATTTATAACGGTTTTAAAAATATTATAGCAAAGTATTAGCCCTAGGCTGCCCTTCAGGTCCAGTTAAATTCACTTAAATTTAGTAAAAGCTACAACTAAACTACAAGTATATTTGAGGTCCCAATCAATTTATACTTTAGTGATGAATCGAAGCCATGTTATTCATGCAGTGTAAAAATAACTTGGCTTAGCTTCACCATGGCTACAGACGTAAAGTTTATGTTATTTTGTAAGAAGATCGGATTAATAACTTATTTTTCTTTCTTATTTTTATAGCCCCAACCATGGAATTTTCGAGAAGTCAAAGCGGCAATCAAGTTTTAACCTACTTGGGTTATGAATATCTTTATTTCCGCAACAATGATGGGGTGCTCACTTGGAGATGCCGGCTGAATCGAGCTACAAAGTGTCATTCCAATATTAAGACAAAAAATGACACTATAGTGAGACCACCCACTGAACATT